AGGAATGGGGATTGTATAAAGCTCTGCTTGATACAATCAAAGGAGCGCTGACATTCAGCGTTCCATAACCACCTCTCGTTCTTTTTCAACAAACGAGAGAGGTGCACAGTCATCTCGGCGTAATTTCGTGAATACTTATGCAAATACGCCGCTAGCACAAGGAATTTTCGAAGACCTTTGAAATGAACCGGCACAGGCCAGTCGGTGATCGCCTTGATCTTTTCGGGATCAGAACGTACACCGTTCTTACCAACGATGCACCCAAGGAGTGGTATTTCGCTTGCTGCAAATATACACTTCTTCATACTTTCATACAATTGATGCTTTCGCATGATTGTAAGAACCTGTCGGACGTGGTACCTGTGAACCTCAACGTCCGACTTTCCATCCATAGCCCGACTATGGATGAATACGTCATCGAAATAACTCGGCGCGAATTCTCGTACTAGTCTCAACAGATGTGATACACATCTGTTGAACGTGGCAGGGGCATTACTAAGCCCTTGTGGCATTACTAGCCATTCTTAGAGCATGCCGCTAGGCGTGCTAACTGCGGTATAGGGTATGTCCCTCTCTCGCATAAGGATTTGATAGAAGCCATCCATCAAATCCATGGACGAAAAGATGGTACTCTTTGACATACCATCAATGATTACGTCCTTCCTCGGTATCGGCGTCTGAGCCGGTACCGTTGCAGCATTCAACTTGTTAAATGCATGCACAATCCGCCACCCTCCTGTTGCTTTTCGCACACAGAAGGTCGGAGAGCTATGTGGGGAAGTTGATTCCCTCACATGGCCCGCAGCTAAACGATCGGCAAAGAACTTGTCGATCGCTGTGACCTGTTCACGAGGCAGTGGCCACTGCTTCATGACACAGTACTTCGAGCCTGGTTTAAGCTCGACCTCGTGTCGAATACCTTTATCCTTCGGTAATTCGCACGGAACAGTTTCAGGGAATACATCCTTGAATATAACCAAATCTTTATAAAGAGGATTTGTCTTGAGCGATTCCCACGATTGGGAGTCATATCACTCAACTCGTGTCTTTTCATCTAGGACACTCTCGTCCATCGATGAACTACTGAGAACTCTCTCGTTCTCAGTGAACACTGTTGCTGACCTTATGTCGGCTACACACTCGTCGTCAGCGACGAGTACGCAGATCTGCTTGACTTTGCCACTACGCAGATCACGCAAGAACCTTTTATGTTCGAGCGTTGGCAACTGAGTGATCTCCGAAGTCAACTTCGGAGGCGCAATCAGATCAAGTGTATAAGCGCCTACGCTTGATCCGTTATTGACTAGGACATTCAATGTCTCTGTCATTTCCTGGGGACTTATTCCCTCAGGCTTCGAAGGACTTATTCCTTCGGCTTCCCGGGGACTTATTCCCGCGGGTTTCGGGGAACTTATTTCCGCCGTATTTGTAATCTTGGGACTTATTCCCTTTACTCCCTCTAGCTGTGGTTGCGCAATCACAGCGAGATCCTCTACGAAAGACTCTCCAGTCGATCTAGGATTATCGTTTCGCTTAACCTGAGCGATCGATTGTTTCTCTTCTAGATGTTCCCCGCTAGGGATACATCTTTGTCCCAGTCCACCCGACTTATTCGAGTGGTGGACCTTCGGCGCAGCCTGTGTTTCCTCACAGCCGCCGGAACTTTGCTCCGAAGTGTAACCGTTTGGTACACTAAGGTTTTGTGCAGTCGTACTAACGACCGTACCACAAGTGAGGCCATCGCACTCACTCGTAGTACATCCACACGCTTGTGGACGCTCCAAAACGTTCATCAGGTGGCCATCTGATGAACAAGCGGCAGGCATCGTTACTGTCCGATGTTGCCAGTTTACTCGTGGTCGTACCTTCTGAGCCACGGTATTCCAAGGATGACATCAAATTTGTCATCCAAATCCAATACGATAAAGTCATCGTCATATTGGGTATCTTCAAGCGTATAGTGGATCTTCACTATACGCTTCATGACGGTTACGGATGCGCCTGTCGCAAGACGTACCGTCATCCTCGTAGGAGGTGTGTCACATTCACTGAATTTAAAGTGACCATCTTCTAGCGATTGGCGTCGCACAAAATTGTTGGACGCCCCACAATCGACTAGAGCTCGAAGGGACAACTTATTCGTCACTTCGAGTTTCAAGGTAATGAGTGAGACCTCATTACCTAGAGCAGCAACGCACAACGTTTGTGTGTCGGGAGCAACCTTCATCAAGAGGCCTACAAATTCTCTTGACGTTGCTAGACCAGTAGGGTGCCCCGCACCTACTGATCCTGTCCGTTTTTTGACGGTCCATCCCGTTGTTGCGTCTTTGCACCAACAGCGGACCCGCGTCCCTGCCCCTTTCTCATGGGTGGACGGTCACTACGCCCAGTGTCGCGAGACACTGGACGAGGGGCACTACACTCGTAAGCGTAGTGTCCTGTCTTTTGACATCTATTGCATTTATGCAACTTCTTGTAGTCTGTAGAGCGAGCCTTCTCGCTCTCTACATAACAGAGTTCCATCGGCTCTGGACCTCCGCTGTCATACCGTCTCGGTTGACGATATGATGTCGAGCTGGCGCGAGCCTGTCTCAGACTGAAGTCTTCCTGCTCCGCAATGGAAATGGCTTGTTCTAGTGAATCTAGTTCAAGTCGGAACAGGTGAGTCTTGACGGGACCATCCGCAAGACCCTGCATGAACACCGAAACCAACATGTGTTCATCCACCGGATTGGAACTTATACAACTCGTGAGATGTCGTATATGTTGAGCGTAATCGTGCACATCACGCTTACCCTGCTTGAGCTTCAAGAGTTCGGTTCGAGCTCTGAACTCAGCTCCAGGAGCTTCAAACGTTTGTCCGAGCCGCGACTTGAAGACTTCCAACGACCCAAACGCATATGGGTCGTTCAACTTGAGCCCCAGTGCCCAAGTCTTGGCACGTCCTGCCAGATTTGACTGGACAAATGCAACTTGCATTTCCCCGTCGTCGATGCGACGCGCCCTTATGGCGTCATCCAATTTGACGAACTATCTCAAGAGGGAGTCTTCTTCGACCCCCCTATACTTGGAGATGTCAATCTTCAAGGTTTCGGGTCGACGCGAGTGCATCGACCCACCAGCAGCAGCCTGCTGCTGTCTCAACAGTTCAAACTGTTGAGCACCCGGTTCTCTCAACAACTCTGCTTGTTGAGAACCTTGTTGGTGAAGCAAGGCTACTTCTCGCGTTCAGCGTCAAGTTCGTTTTGAATGAACTTGGCGATAGTAGCATGTTGGGCATCTCTATTGAGAGCCTCTAGCATGACGCTAACAGCATGGATGCCCATGGTTGAGCCCATCCGTTCAACCGCATCCCATTCGACATTGCTCAAATGGGAGTAGCCGGCACGTATGACGTGAAAGCTTTGGTCATCTTCATCATCCAACATATTCATGTTAGATGTGAACGTGGTCCTTGGACGGACTGCGAAGTGCTACCAGGTGTAACGGGGCACCCTGAAGCTTGTACTGGTGACAGTACAAGCTACTTATTCTGATGACAGAATAAGGCGGTGCCTCGGAACTTCACGTACACTCGTACGTGCAGAGGAAGACGGTAAGAAGAAGCGAGTACTTGGTTAAAGTAAAAAGTAGAACTGTATTTATAATATTAATGTCTGCAATAAATCACTATTTATCTTCATCTAACTATGTCTAAATACAAATGTGTAAATCAACTATCTTCTCACCACTCATTGCGTGCGTCTGTCGTGGCGCGTCTTCGTTGGTTGATATAATGGCCTATATCAACCAATTAGGAACTACTCGTAAGTGCTACAGAATATTTGTCCTCATGAGAATATATTCTGAGAATATAACTCTTATAGTTATATTCTATTAAGAATTGCTTCTAAATTGTTATGTAACGATTCACCCCGTTACATCACCCCCCCCCTTAACCATCAGTCACTTCAGTGACTGATTGACCAAATGGATACTCGTCCCAAATCATTTGGGACAGGGTTTGCACTTGTTGGTCCGAGTCCGCTTTCCAACATCTCATCGCATGGTCAACAAGCCCATGCGATGCGCGAGCAAGGCCTCCGAGAGCGCGTCCGCACGTCTCCGTGCGGACGCCGAAGCAGAAACAACAGCAACTGATGTCCCATCGGTTGCTGAAGCGACTCAGCCTGTGTCACCTGGTGATGCAGGCGCTGGTCATGAAGACACTCATGTCTTCACAGAGTACGAGCTCGGTGTCTCGTACTCTCCTGATACGGAAGACGGATCCGTATCGACGGCGATCGAATCCAAGCCGCCTGCCAAGCGTGGCATGGACGATGCTTTGCGTCGTAGCATCTTTGGTTCATCTGATGAATCAGATGAACCATCGCCGAAGCAAAGGCGCTCGAGGTCGCGAGACTCGGGCGCTAACAGTGGTGTCGGTTCTCCTATGGACACCACTTCGCAACGAAGTGCCAGTACTTCTGTCGGCACGACGCAGGAAGAGCGGGACCGCAATGTCTTGCGTCTCGCTCCCGAGAAGAAAGCATGGCTACCTCCTAAATCTGTCATGGATCACTTGTCGGCGACGACGAGTGATCGTTATCGAACACGGTCGTTTGATTCGTCAAGGATCCATCACCTTGACCCCAGTGCAATAAAACTATCGCACTGAGCATGAATTCTTCATCGATGCTTTATTTAAACATCGATGGTACAGTGGGAATCATAAGCGTGATGGTCCCTCACTACTTCAAGCGTGGAACGCCTACATCCATAACCTTGAGGATGTAGGTCGTGACGTTTGGAATGACAAACTTATCAAAGCTCGTGATAAGTTTGAAAAGAGAACCCCGACAGGTGCACGCTACAAGCTGCATCGTCTGTCTAGGGAGAAAAGGTTACCCTGCCTCTCCTGGGGAGACTCGTGCCCATGTTGTGTGAACAACTCTGCACGAGCACCTAAGGAGTCTTACCTCCTTACTAGCCCTTGGTGGCGCGTACGTATCTCTACTGAGATGTACGAAGGGATTGACAACTTGAAATCCCATTATGACCGTGCCGGGAAGACTTTCTCCGGCGGTCCTTCTGCGGCACAGGATGTGCCGCGTCGTACTGCTCAATTCAACCCAGTACGTCAATCATCAGTTGGGAGCGGGGCTCCCAAGTATCCCTGGACGGGGGATAGCCGCGCCACCGGACGAGATAACTCGTCCGACGTCCGTTCACGTCGCGGTGGTTCAACAGCTGCTCAACCAGATAGCGCTGGCCACCGCGAGAGTCCTCTAATGGAGGTGGAGGAGGAGGAAAGACGCTCTCCACACGATCATGTGGATCGGTGTGTTCCCGAGAGCTTCTTTGATCGCATAACGCAAGGGTTACGCGACGATCTCGAACATGAGCGGAATAGGCGTCTCCAAATGGCGGACACTGCCTCGAAGAATCGAGCTGAGTTTGCCTTTGCTCAGCTTGAGAACGAGAGATCTCTGACATCTCTTCGTGACGAGCTAAGGGTAGCTCGTGGGGATGTTGATCGGTCTCGGGCTGAGATAACTCCTCTGTAGACCCTTGTCGATGGCCACCATCGGGAGCACAAGGCTCTCTGCGAGATGCTTGAGCGCAAGGGCGTTATTCATCGGAAGAAGCAACGTACTGATGGTACGGCTTAAGCCGACCAACGTAAGAAGTGGGATGCGCTTGCATCTTACGTGGTAATTCGATCGTGTATGCATGGCCTAGGCGGTGTAATACACGAAATGGGCCGATGTACTTGGGTAGTAGTTTACTGCTACCCAAGTTAGTCACTACATGCTTTGGTAGATTAACCGTAGACAGTAGGACTAAGTCACCTTTATTAAATAAAAGAGTGTTTGCCCTTCCATTCTTGTCAGCGTTTTGCTTTTGCTTATCCACCGCTTCGGCGATGGAGTCTTGCACAAAACGGACTACCGTTTCACGAGCCAGTATGAACTCATCTGATGACTCGTTAGCTTCAGTGCGCTGTGAGCGCACTGCAGCAACATCAACCTTTTCTTCAGTGAGGGCTTCCGCACTCTCACTGGCATCATCTTCTTCGATATCGATAACATCGATATCGGCATCAAACGAAATGGCCTCTTCGTCAGAGCGTGATAAGCGTGAACCAAATCGGTTTTTGCTCGCGCGAGTCCCTCCCCCCCTTAACCAGAGGTACACTCTAGTAAGGTGGGTACACGCGGATGGCGTAAGCCATTCATGTAAAACGGTGTATGTGCCGTGGACGCATGCACCGAGTTGTTAATGGCAAACTCTACCATAGGCAAGAACTCACTCCAACTCTTAAAGGAGTGTACGTATCCTCGAAGTATCTCTTCAAGGACACGGTTGGCTCGTTCCGTCTGACCATCTGACTTTGGATGATCAGATGGCGACATCTTCAAGCGCGTTCCGAGTGATTTGAACACGGAACGCCAGAAATCAGCAGTGAATCGTGGATCTCTGTCTGATACGAGTTCACGAGGCAACCCATGAAGTCGGAAGATGGTGTCGATAAAGACACAAGCACAGCCACTTGCCGTGATTGTCTCTGGTACAGCCACAAGGTGTACCATTTTGCTGAATCTGTCAACAAATACGAGAATACCCGTATTCCCGCGTGCGTCTTTGGGTTACCCGAAGACGAAATCCATTGAGATAGATTTCCAGCATTCCGCCAGAACTGGTAGAGGCTGTAAAGGTGCACGCAGTGAAGGAATTGACTTCACTCGTTGACAGACTTCGCATGCGCGAACATACTTTCGCACAAACTGATACTGACGGGGCCAGTAAAAGTCTCGACTCACCGTGAGGCATATTTCTCCCGGCCACGATGTCCTCCTATAGGATCATCGTGATACTCGAACATGATCCGCAAACGCAGATCAGTATCATCTGGAATGACAACACGTGGTGTGTCACCAGAAACGGATGTATAATACAGTAAACCGTTGCGAGCAGTGTATCGATTTGATGCAGATCGATACGCAGACGATAATCCTTTCAACGATTCTCGAGATGGTTGTGAAGATGTGTCAACAACTTCACAATCTCACCATCTTGGGCGTACGCCTGCCTCACATCATCATGTAAACGTTGAAGATGGGACTGAGGACGTCATAACCGCAACAGTGGCTGTCTCACTGTTGGGTTTCACGACTGTTTCAAAGTCGGGCCGAAGTGAGAGCGCATCAGCGACGACATTAAGTCGTCCTGGTTTGTACTCGACCGTAAAGTTGTATTCTGCAAAGAATGACAACCACCGCGCAATTCGTTGTGAAAGGTGCGGGCTGTTCACTGCCGTGCGTAACGACGCATGCTCTGTGTAAACAATGAAGGGTCTATCTCCTAATAGATAGACTCTGAAATTCGCGAGTGCATACTTCATGGAAAGGAGTTCCTTGTCATGCACTGGATAGTTCCGCTCAGCTGGTTGCAGCTGACGCGACTGATAGCAGACGACGCGTTCAACGCCTTCAAGATCGTACTGCATTCATGCACAGCCGATTGCGAAATCGCTGGCATCACAGACCACATGAAATGGCCTGTCCTGGTCGGCAATTGCTAGGACTGGGGATTGTATCAATCTCTGCTTGATACAATCAAAGGAGCGCTGACATTCAGCGTTCCATAACCACCTCTCGTTCTTTTTCAACAAACAAGAGAGGTGCACAGTCATCTCGGCGTAATTTCGTGAATACTTATGCAAATACGCCGCTAGCCCAAGGAATTTTCGAAGACCTTTGACATCAACCGGCACAGGCCAGTCGGTGATCGCCTTGATCTTTTCGGGATCAGAACGTACACCGTTCTTACCAACGATGCACCCAAGGAGTGGTATTTCGCTTGCTGCAAATATACACTTCTTCATACTTTCATACAATTGATGCTTTCTCATGATTGTAAGAACCTGTCGGACGTGGTACCTGTGAACCTCAACGTCCGACTTTCCATCCATAGCCCGACTATGGATGAATACGTCATCGAAATAACTCGGCGCGAATTCTCGTACTAGTCTCAACAGATGTGATACACATCTGTTGAACGTGGCAGGGGCATTACTAAGCCCTTGTGGCATTACTAGCCATTCTTAGAGCATGCCGCTAGGCGTGCTAACTGTGGTATAGGGTATGTCCCTCTCTCGCATAAGGATTTGATAGAAGCCATCCATCAAATCCATGGACGAAAAGATGGTACTCTTTGACATACCATCAATGATTACGTCCTTCCTCGGTATCGGCGTCTGAGCCGGTACCGTTGCAGCATTCAACTTGTTAAATGCATGCACAATCCGCCACCCTCCTGTTGCTTTTCGCACACAGAAGGTCGGAGAGCTATGTGGGGAAGTTGATTCCCTCACATGGCCCGCAGCTAAACGATCGGCAAAGAACTTGTCGATCGCAAGTACTTGTTCACGAGGCAGTGGCCACTGCTTCATGACACAGTACTTCGAGCCTGGTTTAAGCTCGACCTCATGTCGAATACCTTTATCCTTCGGTAATTCGCACGGAACAGTTTCAGGAATACATCCTTGAATATAACCAAATCTTTATAAAGAGGATTTGTCTTGAGCGATTCCCACGATTGGGAGTCATATCGCTCAATTCGTGTCTTTTCATCTAGGACACTCTCGTCCATCGATGAACTACTGAGAACTCTCTCGTTCTCAGTAAACAATATTGCTGACCTTATGTCGGCTACACACTCGTCGTCAGCGACGAGTACGCAGATCTGCTTGACTTTGCCACTACGCAGATCACGCAAGAACCTTTTATGTTCAAGCGTTGGCAACTGAGTGATCTCTGAAGTCAACTTCGGAGGCGCAATCAGATCAAGTGTATAAGCGCCTACGCTTGATCCGTTATTGACTAGGACATTCAATGTCTCTGTCATTTCCTGGGGACTTATTCCCTCAGGCCTCGAAGGACTTATTCCTTCGGCTTCCCTGAGACTTATTCCCGCGGGTTTCGGGAAACTTATTTCCGCCGTAATTGTAATCTTGGGACTTATTCCCTTTACTCCCTCCAGCTGTGGTTGCGCAACCACAGCGAGATCCTCTACGAAAGACTCTCCAGTCGATCTAGGATTATCGTTTCGCTTAACCTGAGCGATCGATTGTTTCTCTTCTAGATGTTCCCCGCTAGGGATACATCTTTGTCCCGGTCCACTCGACTTATTCGAGTGGTGGACCTTCGGTGCCGCCTGTGTTTCCTCACAGCCGCCGGAACTTTGCTCCGAAGTGTAACCGTTTGGTACACTAAGGTTTTGTGCAGTCGTACTAACGACCGTACCACAAGTGAGGCCATCGCACTCACTCGTAGTACATCCACACGCTTGTGGACGCTCCAAAACGTTCATCAGATGGCCATCTGATGAACAAGCGGCAGGCATCGTTACTGTCCGATGTTGCCAGTTTACTCGTGGTCGTACCTTCTGAGCCACGGTATTCCAAGGATGACATCAAATTTGTCATCCAAATCCAATACGATAAAGTCATCGTCGTATTGGGTATCTTCAAGCGTATAGTGGATCTTCACTATACGCTTCATGACGGTTACGGATGCGCCTGTCGCAAGACGTACCGTCATCCTCGTAGGAGGTGTGTCACATTCACTGAACTTAAATTGACCATCTTCTAGCGATTGGCGTCGCACAAAATTGTTGGACGCCCCACAACCGACTAGAGCTCGAAGGGACAACTTATTCGTCACTTCGAGTTTCAAGGTAATGAGTGAGATCTCATTACGTAGAGCAGCAACGCACAATGTTTGTGTGTCGGGAGCAACCTTCATCAAGAGGCCTACAAATTCTCTTGACGTTGCTAGACCAGTAGGGTGCCCCGCACCTACTGATCCTGTCCGTTTTTTGACGGTCCATCCCGTTGTTGCGTCTTTGCACCAACAGCGGACCCTCGTCCCTGCCCCTTTCTCATGGGTGGACGGTCACTACGCCCAGTGTTGCGAGACACTGGACGAGGGGCACTACACTTGTAAGCGTAGTGTCCTGTCTTTTGACATCTGTTGCATCTCTGCAACTTCTTGTAGCCTGTAGAGCGAGCCTTCTCGCTCTCTACATAACAGAGTTCCATCGGCTCTGGACCTCCGCTGTCATACCGTCTCGGTTGACGATATGATGTCGAGCTGGCGCGAGCCTGTCTCAGACTGAAGTCTTCCTGCTCCGCAATGTAAATGGCTTGTTCTAGTGAATCTAGTTCAAGTCGTAACAGGTGAGTCTTAACGGGACCATCCGCAAGACCCTGCATGAACACCGAAACCAACATGTGTTCATCCACCGGATTGGAACTTATACAACTCGTGAGATGTCGTATATGTTGAGCGTAAGCGTGCACATCACGCTTTCCCTGCTTGAGCTTCAAGAGTTCGGTTCGAGCTCTGAACTCAGCTCCAGGAGCTTCAAACGTTTGTCCGAGCCACGACTTGAAGACTTCCAACGACCCCAACGCATATGGGTCGTGCAACTTGAGCCCCAGTTCCCAAGTCTTGGCACGTCCTGCCAGATTTGACTGGACAAATGCAACTTGCATTTCCCCGTCGTCGATGCGACGCGCACTTATGGCGTCATCCAATTCGACGAACTATCTCAAGAGGGAGTCTTCTTCGACCCCCCTATACTTGGAGATGTCAATCTTCGAGGT